ATTAAAACTGCTGGGACAAACATCAATAAACTGAGATATTTTAATGATACAGCTTTGATGGCTACAGGTAAGGAAGACATAAGAAATCTCCTATCAAAGGCTAAAGAAAAAATATTAAAACTCCCCCCCCCCAAGATTATGTCTGTGGGCTAGTAGTAACAGACTTTTAACTCTCTAGTCTCAAATTCAATACTACATAAAGTCAAGTCAGACAGCTCACTAATTAAGAAGCAAGAGTTATTAGAAAATACACCGATGTTTGGAAAAATAGAAAGCAATCAAAACCAGGCCAGCAGATAACAGTTGGATATCAGCAGGTGGCTAGATATTATCACTGCTGACACAAGCATGAGCTTAAAAGAATTTTAAAGAGCACTTACTGACAGTCTTGGTGAAATGATGCCCATATGGTCACAAAGAATTGGAAGAGACTGAACAATAACAAGAGTAAAAATGAATAATGACAGCCAGTGTGGTATAGTGCTAAGGTGTTGGACCAGGAATGGGGAGACCCAGATTCTAGTCTATCTTCAGACTTTATGCTCTCACTCAGCTTGACCTACCACATAAGGTTGTTGTTGTGGGGATAAATAGGTCTTATACTAAACTTATATCTAAGCACACACCAAATAAAAATGTTATTTTCACAGTGGTAATATGCAGGAACAAAAGTGCTTCTAAAAAAGTATTTTTAATCAAGGAATTTTATCTCATTTATCAAATTTTACACATTGCTATCTACTGTTTGCAATCCTACCATGTTCTCATTTTTTTTCTTTCTCAAAAAAATCAATGTGATAAAAAGATGGAATAATTGCACAATGCATTTTGAGTAGTAGTTGTTGGAACTGCTGTCTCCCCTCATTACAAGTTTTAAACTATCCTTAATTGCACAAAGTTGCAGTTAACATATTTTTATAGCGGATAAAATATTCCCAATTCCTAGTTGTCCAAGTAACTAAGCATTTGGGCTTTTTCTAGTCTACCTTAAGTGCACCACAAAATATTTCTTTGCTGAGCTCATTATATGCATTACAATTTTTGTTGTTGATCCAGTACTGGCATTACTTATGAAAAGTCTGCCTACTGAAACGTGCAGATTTGGATGCAATATAACCATCATTTCCAGCAGATATTTTACACTCTCATGTTGGGTTAACAGTACATCATCCACAATCAACACAGCCCAATGATGAGGTGAAGTTGGGGAAAACTGCCCTATGTATTATACTTACTTTCTTTACCTTGCAGGAAGAAAATGCTCTTATTTTAACCTTGTGTCTGATCACCCTACACTGACACTGAGCATCTCTGATTTGGCTCCAGGGATCCCTAGTCTGGCTTCCAAGCAGGCACAGACAAAACTTCTGAAGAGGGATGACCCACTGAGTAATTCCAGGCAAAGCTGGGACTGGGTTTGTACAGAAGAAACCGGAGCCCAGGACGCTTGAGGAAGTGAAAGCGAAGGGGGAGAAAGACAAGAGAAAGAACAGGGACTTGGATTCGAGGAAAGAGAGGAGAGAGGCGGAGAGACCCTCCGTGGGATTTAGACGCGAGGTTAGGCGCCATCAGTGACAGCCGGGTCGGCCTTTCCAGCTCCACCTTCGGGTCTACAGCCAACCGACTCTTCCTCCTCACCGCGACGGCTCCATCCTCGCCTCAGCTCGCGGAGGGGAAAACAACACCAGGCGGAGGCGGAGGCGCCGCGCGGTCACAGCGGTGTCTCCCCCACCCGCCTCGCAACGCGTCAGAGAGAAGGCGCTCAGCCGTCCCAGGATCTCCCTCCCTCCCTCTCTCCCGTCCCACGAAGGTGGCTGAAGGGCGCGAGCCTCTCGTAAGATTGACACCTCGGCCGGACACGCCCCCTCCTTACCTCCCGTCTGCGCGAAAGCCGGACCTACTCCGAGCCGCCCCCGATCCGGACTAGCTCCCCGCCTGGGCGCCGGCTCCAAGTCATTCTCCGGGCCCCGAGCGCGACGGCGTCCGCGGCACTTTTTCCAGACTTTGGTCTTCGCGAAAAAAGGGTCTCCTTCTGGTTCCTGGCCTTCCCACGCAAGCGCGCAGGAAGGCGGCCAGGCCACCACCCACTCGAAGGAGACGTCTGCTACCAATCTCCGGGATGGACCCATCTGCGGCTGCGCAGTTGCTATGCGAGGTTCTTCGTCCCGCCTGCTACCCCTCCCATCTGGAGGGTGTGTTTGGGAGAGTGTTGGGGTGTTAATTCCAGGGGGTGGTGCGCCCAGGAGGAGGTAGATTTCGGACGCTCGTTACGGTGGTACAGATAGACGAGCGGATGTGATTCCCCGAACTTTTTTGGGAAACGAGACTTAGAATTTGCAGGTGGAAGGAAATCTGGGACTGATTTGCCAGCCGCAGGTATTATTCCATGTAATTGCAATTTGTAATAAACGGGTTACATCATGGTTTGGCAGGAGAAGAAAGACGGGAAGATTAGCAGGAGAAGAAAGTTGGATTGGCAGGAAAGGAAAGACTCCCTAGCCTAAAATGTGGCTGGCTCATCCAAGGTTCCGTGTGCCGTGCGTATGTAGGCAGTTTTGTTGAGAAAAGTACTGTAAAGGATACTTGGAGATTGGAAAGTACCTTGAACCGGGACTGAAGCGAGCTGTAAAAAGAAAAATGCCTTTGTACAAAGTATTTTACTTACTAATTTCTGAGATAATATAATATATAATGCCATGTCATGTAACACGTAGTCATCACAGGGGCTGCGTTTTTGCAACATGCTGAACACAAATAAGCCACCCACATTTGAGTCTCTAGCTGACCGGGCATGGGGATGGAAACTAAGAGGGTTGGGTTACACTAGACTGGAAAAATGTCAGGGTGGCAAAGCACTTCTGTCCATTGGCAAGAAAAGCATAGTCAAGCTTTCCAGGGGGAGTCTTAAATATTGGGCAAACTCAGGCTTTGTAGCTATGTTTGTTTTTCATGGTATATAAAGCCTGATATCTAGGTCATCATAGGTAAGGATGTTGTATGAACATAGCCAAATATTTGTACCATTTACTTATATTTAGTGTTCTTCCCATTTTGTACCTAACCACAGCACGAAGATGTCCTGCCAACATTTTCTTTTCTACCATGACCCCAATGACTTTGCCTTCATCTCATCTCCAGCCTATGAGTGAGACAGACTGAAGTCATCCTTAGCTGTCTAAGTGTTAAAGTGGGTTTTTCTCCTTTATTCTGACACACTGAATGGAAATAGAGGCAGGATAGAATTTGGTAAGGTTTTCTACAAACCCAAGAATGCTAGCACTTCAATTCAGCAGTGGGGGAATTAAGGGTTGAACCTTTAATTCAACCTTAATATGCTATAGTTGGGGCTCTGTGTGCCCTGTTCAACTATAAGCATGAAGTATATAGCCTAATAAAGTAAAACAATTCTGGTAAGAATAGCATATTAAAGACAAATATGTTTATTATGACATTAGCTTTCATGGTCCACATTCCACCTTCATACATGCTACAGTGACAGTAACAGTCATTCACCTTGCACCTATTCAAAGCCTGTGTGTGTGTGTGT